GTGTGCCTTGGCAGTTAGCTAACGTCACATCACAACATTGTGAAGTTAGCTATCATATATCAGGCTATAACTAAAGTAGCATTGATAATATAGTAACGTTACTGGCAGGACTGTTGATACTGGTCCATAACAGAAACTAATGCGCAAGTATCAGCCGTATCTCGCGTTACCTAATGCAACTCCACACTACGGTGCTGTGTACCGGAAGGGAGACGCGAGAAAGAAAAAAAACAAAAACTGCAAGATGCTCTTTAAGCAAATTACTGATAGTTTTAATTTGACTCAAATCGTTAAAGAAAACTCCCTTGATTGATCGCGATATTAATGATATGCGTTAGTGGCTTAACATATGAGGAGTTAATGTCTTTCAGCATGAATGTGTCCATACCGTAGATATCCTTAGCCCTTGAGGATTTCAGATTGGCAATTACTTCTGCAACCTCTGTCTCAGACACTGACTTTAGAACAGCTGCTGGTTCGCTAGTGTTGACAGTCTGGAGTGCATTAACTTCCTGAGCTATGAAGCTACTGGCTATGGTAGCCACTGACTCAACAAAAATAATAATTGAGTGTAGTTGCCACATCAGCTGGGCATTGCAGAGTTGTGCCCTCAATTCAATTGGCTTGGCTGTGGTAGTGTTTTGACCAGTTCATTTTTTTATTTGGCTCCATATAGCTTTTGAGTTGCACTGAGCATTTTCAATCATTGTGATGAAGAAGTCTGCTTTTGCTTTTCTCAGTTCCCTTGTTGCCTTGTTTCTTAGCCCTGCAAATATATGTTTATCATGGGACATCTTTTATTTTATGGCAGTTTTTAAGGCACTGTCCCGCTGTTTCATTACATTTCCGACATGTCCGTTCAACCAGGGGGGAGTCTGTTTCTTATTTTTATGTTTTATCATGATTGAAAATTCATTGATTGTGGCCTGTAGTTTTCCCGTAAAGTTTTGACTGGTTACTTCTAAATCATTTTCAAGTACTAGATCTTCCCAATCTAAGTTTTTTATAGTAGATCTGAAGTCTTCTTGCTTGTTTTTTGGGATGCCAAAGGATTCATACATCAAGAGACACAACACATCCCTGATGAGGTACCCATCATGCTTTTTCTCCTGACAGGGAGCCGTCGGTCTCCACGGCAACATCGGGGAGCAGGGTCTGATTGGCCAGAGAGTGAGTATCCTGTTTTCTTTACTTTTGAAAAGTCATAATGAGTTAAAGTGCCCTGGATGTATTTAGGCAAAACAGCAGCATATTAAAAAGGAGACGCATCACTTGAGGTGTAGACTAAAGCAAGTGATACATTTGTTTTCAATATGTACTCAAACACAGCCAACATTGGCTTGTGACATTGGCTTGTGTCTCTGCTTCCAGAATTCACTGTCCTGGTGACAATAAAACATACTGCAACCATAATGTTTTTATAATGTGTCTGTCAGGGTGAGCAAGGCATTGACGGGGAGGCTGGACCAAGTGGAACCGATGGAGCCAAGGCAAGTTCAAAATAAAAGACATACTGTGACCTAAAAAATGATTTAAAGGCCCACAGTAAATGGAAAAACATTGCCCCGGCCGGTAATCAAATTGTTGTCAATAACTGCAACACAGAATTCTTTCCTGATTCCCATTTGTCTGTGAACCCAGGAACCTCTCCGCTTTACTGTAGCAGCTTATTCTAATTAGGGCAAGTCTACTATTGTTTGTGAAATAATGGCCTGTGTACAGTTGGAGCTGCATTGTGTTGACGCATATTGAAAACAGATAGCGGGGCTATTTTAAGTCTGGCAAGTATTGTGACCGAAAGAAAAAAAAAAGATGGAAAGCAATAAAAGCTTGTCTATTCAGCAGAGCCTCGCTGCTGCAAGTATCTCTGACGGACCCACAAACAATGTTTGGCTTAGAGAAGGTGGTAAAATGTGAGTACAGAGAAGACTGAGGATAAGAATACATTTAACCTGAGAATCTGTTTTGCTAAAAGTAAACTACTTTGAGGGATTCTTGGACACAGTGCAGCCCCTGGGTGGAAAACAGCAGATCAACAGGGGTTTGCAGTTTTTACCGTCAACTGTTAAGAGACTGAAAATCAGCACATTGCCATTATTAATTGTCATATTACTTTTCTGCAAAGAAATTGAGGATGTTGACATATTTTGTTTCAGCAGTGTGTGGTACATATTTTTGTTTTCCAATGTTGGGAGAGCCATATTGGTATCCTACTAAATCTCCATTAGATTGATCAATGGTTGGCTAAAGAAAGCTAGCAATTGGGAGGGAAAACAATGAGTTTTACAAGGTGGATACAGGATTGAAATACAGCGGAAGCTACTGAGAATTGAAGTAAAAACTAAACCCATATCTTGACTGAAGATCAAACTACATGTTTGTCAGTGTGTGGTAGACTTCATGCTGTCCACTTGAATATTCATTAGGCTGGACCTCATGGCTCTGGTTTTTTTATCCTGTCTACCCCACAGGTGTTTCTCAGTTTCCGTATGAAATGTTCTTCTCTTGCACTCCTTTTATCCATGTATCCATGTTGAAGAAAGGCTCAGTTCTTTGCCCAATCTTATTTTTTATTCACATATTTGGAACCGAACATTATCCTTTTCTAGTTTTGTTTCTTAAAAATTGTAACACAGCCAGCCCTTGCTGTGTGTTTCTTTGAAACTGGTCTTAGTCGGTTCGACTTTATAGCCGTCTACAAAACTGCCTGTCCGCTATGAGGGCTTTGTTAGTCAGTCTGAATAGTCTGCTAGTCTGAATAATATTTGAGATTTAATTTATAATTTGCAATGCTCCCAGACTCCTTACACTAAAGACAGGTAGAGTGCAATCAATGGGATAAGGCCTTACTGATTAGTCAGCTGTCATTTTCAAGAATAGAGGTAACAGAGCTTTGTTGCTTGTGTTGTTGTGCCCCCCCCAGGCTTTGCAATGGCCTTTCTACAGACATTTGGTCTGCTCATTATGTTGAATATCATGAAAACCTGTAAGCACTGACAGACCTTTCATTGACATATTTAATTAAGTGAAGGTAGTTTTTGCATTAATGTATTTATTAATTTAAGTTCAACTGTCAAAAATGTTCTAGAAAATGAATACGAACTTTTCCTTTCTGAATATTTTATTCACATAGTCTAACTACATTGGGCATATCCTGACTTCTTTAACTGAAAAGCTTTTCATTGGCCTTGTATAACTCTCCTCAGGGAGATAAAGGGGATGCTGGTCAAGAAGGCGCTGAAGGAGACAGGGGTGAAATCGGTCTGAAAGGAAAGCAAGGAACCCCTGGGCCTCCCGGATTGGTCGGTGTAAGGGTGAGCGTCTCAGCAGCCAACTCCATATTTCATTCAATTCCCATGAAAAGACGGCTCTTTTTGTCCACTCACAACCCGTTCGATTTTTCTCTACCAGGGTCAGGAGGGTAAACCGGGCAAAATTGGTGAAAGAGGAAAGCCAGGAGAAAAGGTTTGTCAGTCTCCCTGCCTTGGGCTTTAAAACACCTTTCATTCACTAGCACAAGCGGTTGAATAGCTCTCTGCTGTAGTGTTAAACACATGGTAACAGGTCAGTGACCTCCCTAAGCATGTCAAACAGACTCTCAGTATTAAATGTTTGAATTGTCGAACCTGTTCGGGGAAGTTTGTACTCTGTGCATACCTGCTCAATGATGGCCTCTCTCCAGGGGAGCAAGGGTCACCAAGGTCACCTGGGGGAGAGCGGCCCAACGGGCGAGCAGGGAGAGGTGGGCTTTGTCGGACAGAAGGGAGCGAGAGGAACCATCGGGCCAGTGGTAAGACATCTCCAGGCGCTTTGAAGGACACGCTTTGTTGTGTTGTGGATGTGTGCTAAATAAATATATTTCCCCAGGGTGCTCCGGGGAGAATGGGCCAACAAGGAGAAACCGGCATATCTGGTTACGAGGTAAGCACAGTGATGGAATAACTATTTATATTGCAGGATGGTAGTCATTCGTCTGTCGTCAATTCATTAAATTAGTTAAAAACCTACATTATAAATCCTCTGGAAAAAACCTTGTTTTATGTAAATGGCTAGAATATACACAATATTATATCAAGTGTGTGGGTAAACAGGAAAAACAAGTTGTTTGCCTTGTTGACAGGTACCTTACCTGATTAATGTTTAAACAGTAAGCCTGCCTTGGGTCCGTTCAGTGTGTGGATATCTCTGGATATTTTCTACATTTTTCACAATCAAATGCTATCCAGTTTTCCCCTAACAATCAAAAAGCCTGAATTGATTTTTTCCAGGGGTTTTATCTCAGTGTATATTTCTCACAGAATAATATTGAATGATAGTATTGACGTGCGAGTAGATACTGCGCTTGTATTGTTTTGGTGTTGATGAATCACAGGCCGAATCTCTTTAGTTTCGTTCTCCCTCTCCATTACACAGTCGGGAATCTGCAGCTCGGATCTGTATTTTTCTCTTAATTGTATGCTAAAGTCATATCACTGGTCTATTTACAGCCATGACTGAAGGTTTTCTTAAAGTTGACCACAAGAGGGCAGAAAGTAAATACATACATAAATACAAGCAAATAAAAAAAGAATTGCAAAAAGTTGTTTCCCTTTCTAGAATGTTTCCTTGCAGCTAGCTAAATGTATTCATCTTCCATTTTCAAACTATGAAAACATTTCATGCTTGCTAGTTCAACAACGGGGTGGAGGAGCTTCTTTTCATATAAGGTGTTTTTTATACCACTAACTTTCTCAATCTTTCTTGACGAGACAACCAGGTGAAATGAGCACGATTCCTGGTCATTACCTCTGTTGGCACATAGTAAATCCAGAATAAGCAATGCGTCCTTTAAGACCAGCGTATTTAACACTCATAACCTTGACTCGGCTAATGAATCAGAAAGAATGCATTCCTCATGGCGACCTAAGATGAAGTGATCACCTTGTTGAGTTCTCATTTTACATAATCTCGACCTCGCCTCCTTCTGCTTCTCTACATCATGAACATAATATTTCACACAGTACATTGGGAGTGAAGGTTGGTAGGTGACAGTCACAAACTATTTTTCTTGTCATAGGGTCACATGGGACTGCCGGGCCATCTGGGACCTCCTGGACCAAAAGGTGAAAAGGTACTAAACCACACTTATTTGCCGTCTGCACTGTGATTGTGTCTAATGAGCTCTGGAGTCCTGTAATGGTTGCGTTACTCAACAAGTCAAGCAGGTCGTTGTCTTTGAGTGGTCAGCTCTTTTGAATGCATTGGTACTTCAGTTGTCCCTAATCAGTGCTTCCTCTGTCTCTCATGTCCTTGCAATATTCCAAAAGTCCTCTCTAATTTGATCAATGATCTGATCTAGGACGCATCCGATTAACTCAGTGCTGTCAAATGTATATAATTAGACAAGCACCTGGTCTGCTCATGATTTTGGAGACATTAGCATTATAATTTGTGTTTATTTGACAGGAGCAGCACACAAAGGAGCACACAGCGTTAGAGTTTAGTGAGATGCTAATTTGCATTTTATTTTTAGTCCCTGGGCAGGTGCCATCTGGATGTGGATATTCGTTATATTCTCTTTGCCAATATAAAATAGGTGGGCATAATAAAATAATGGCTGCGCTTGTAATTAAATCAATATCACACTATCAAATGGGTTGTTGCAAAATGTACGATTGTCAATTATAAAAGCCAGGTAGCCCTGGCAATGAAACTTGCTGCAGATAAAATACAGATCAGTTTTATTAAACGCACTCATATTAGACTTGTACGTTTTGCTCGGCCCCTGGCCATCACTAATTATTTTCCTTCTTTAGGATGCCTGATGGGCTCTGCAGTTCTTTTTTTCCTTCGACACATGCTCAACATATGACCATCAACACTAACACACATCCGCGGTTATTGTTTAATGAATAAAGACCCTGGAAGAGTCATTGGCTTCATTTATGTGAAATTGTGGGTAATAGCGCATGTAATGATTTGCCATTCATTTAAGCAGGCAATGTGTTTCCATTGTTGTATTCTTTCAAAGAAAACATGTATTGATTTTGCACACACTGTTTGGTTTGAAGGGAAATTCGGTTGATTGCGGTTGTTTGTCCGTGTCCATATTGCTGGTTTAGGGTGAACAGGGAGACGACAGCAAGGCAGAGGGTCTTCCAGGTCCCCAAGGTGACAGAGTGAGTACCTGTTGTTTATGTGTCCTTTGTTTGTGTTGCTCTGGATTGTTTAATTAATTAGTCTCCATGTACACCCAGGGTCCTCATGGAAACAGAGGAGAGAGAGGAGAGCCAGGGGACCCCGGGCACATTGTGGGTGAAATAAAGAAAGATTGACACCTCTTTTGATTTGTCTTTGGGTATAATGTCAAATAAGTGACTGTCTGTGCATTGAAATGCAGAAACGTATGTTTTCCAGGGTCAAATTGGTGTTGATGGAAAGAGAGGTGCAGCTGGTGCCCCAGGGCTTCCTGTAAGTATCTTATTTATGTCTCTGAAAATGTAAAAACCCCGACATATAGACATTGTGTAAACTTGTTCGAAAGCAATCAGTGTAATTCAAATCAAACAGAAATGATCATTTCAGGGACATCCTGGGCCAAGAGGACTGCCAGGGCTGAAAGGATCCAAAGGTGACCAAGTAAGGACATACATGACAGTGGCTTGATTTTTTATTTGTATTCGAAAAACTCAATGACTTCATGCAACACGATTGGACTGTAATCCAAACTCTCGTTATGCTCCAGGGTCAGGAAGGAAAATCAGGAGCCAGAGGAGCATCTGGGACCAAAGGACCACCCGTGAGTTTGATGTATTTCTGGTCCTACTATATAATCCGGCATAATTCACAGATGAGCTATATGATACTATTTAAAAGCAATGCAGGCTTTTACATTTCCACATGTCTTTTCTAAGGGTCCAGAGGGTCCTGATGGCCCACGGGGAGTTGAGGGCAGGGAAGGACTTGAGGGCCCGTCTGGCATGGATGGACTTTCTGGTAAAGATGGACCTAAAGCAGTCAAGGTGAGGATACTGTCAGTGGTGCACCTTTCTGTTTAACTAAAGAAGGACTTTGGAAAATAGTCAAAAATATTACGTCTTATGTCCTAACCACCACTCATTGAATTTTTTTCGGAAATTGTCATGAAGTCAAGGAAAGATGTGAAGGAGAATTCTTAAGGACATAGGAAAAGACAACCACTGTGCTCAGAGAATCTGCTTGCACTTATCACACTATCTGATGGCGGATGATTTATTCTTAAAGCAACTTCATTTATCACACGTTCAAGTTAGTCTTAAATGGAACCACATAATAACGTTTTCCATTGATCCATAGAGAACAATTGAACAGCTGATGTAAATGATGGCTAAATGGTTCGTTGCTTTATTGAGGGACAGCATTATCTCCTTTCCCTTGGATATAAATGTGGCATTAAAGCAGCCTTCCTTAGCATTCAGAGACTTTGACAGCTTTTCATCATGGATGCCACTTAGATCCATCTGAATTGAAAACCTTCTTAAGCATAAAACAAGATCAACTGTAGCCCAGCTCTCATTATTTCCCACCAACCATTTTCTGTCTTCAGGGGGAGCAAGGAGAAGATGGAGAAGTGGGCTTACCTGGGAAATCTGGGCAGTGGGGGCCAACTGGTGTGACGGGGCTTCCTGGAAGTCAAGGCTCCTTTGGACCAAAGGTGAGAATTATGTGTGGAACATCTGTTCTAGTGTTAGCTAGGAGCTAAAGTTTGATCTTCTTAACAGAGAAGTTAATGTTAAGCTACAACCAAACGTGTTTTTAAAGATCACCAATGTATTGCCAGTATCAAGTGGGAATTGCCAACTCAGCTTAAATCTGCCAGGGTTGCCTCCCAGTGAGTGTTCTCTTATCTCAAATGCCAAACTCTGCAAGTCTTCACACCATTTCTCTAAAGAGCTCATTTTCACTGCACCACTGCTAGGAAGTTAGAGTTGCAAATATGAATGAGTTGGATCGATCCAGATTTTCATTGCTTTGCCAATATTACATAAATTCACTTATACATAACTATGAGAAACACAGTGAGGCTTTATTAGTTAGTATAATGCAGTTCCCTGTATACACATGGTTAGGGGATAAAGTTGCATTCATATTTAGTCATAAGATAGAGATCCAATGCAAACATTTATTTGTTTGTTATGAAGTAAACTGTCAGGGTCGGATATTTCTTTTTCTGCCACTGTGTTTTTCGGAGCCACACAATATTTCTATCTGATACATTTGAAATCTATAAAGAGAGTTTTAGAATTATAAACACTGCGTACTTTGTTGTACCAGGCAGTATATAATGTTATTCATACAACTGAATCCCTGACCATTTTTCATTGAGAATTATATTTAAAATACAATATATATAGAGAACACCAGACATAAATGCAGCCATAGCCAACGTTTACCCTGGATTTGGCCGCTGCTATTTTCATTCCCTGGTTGAACTTTCAAAACTGTTTTTTCACCATAGTAGTGGAAAGGCACCAGCACACGGTTGACAGTAAATGTGTCCATTGGTGGGAAGTCAGTGAGGGATCTTGAGCTTGTTGCAGCACTTATACTGATTTGTCCTTTCAGAGGTTATTTGGTACGTGAGGAAGTGCATGTGTTTATGTGTTTATGTTTGATCTTCAGGGTGAGAGGGGTCTTCCGGGCCATACTGGTGCATCAGGAAAACAAGGCTCTGTCGGCGGGATGGGGCTGCCAGGAAAACAAGGAGAGCAGGGACCTAAAGGACAACCTGTGAGCACTGAGTTATCTATTTACTCAGAGAACAACCTTTTAGCTTGTTCAGTGATGAAGATAACCATACTTCTCTTCTCTAAGGGGGATACGGCTCAACGAGGATTTCCAGGGGTGTTCGGTCTTTTTGGACCAAAGGTATGCCAAGCGACCTATAAAGTTTTAGTTCCACATCTTATTGGCTGTGCAGATGATATGTCTCTGAGGCAGTAAAATGACCAAAAAGTCATTTCTGACTCCAACTCATCTTTGTGCAGTGTTTTTGTGAAGTTTGAACCTCAAAATTGTCTGGAGGTACATTAAGTTATATTGTCTTCAGTAAAAATTGATATGAAAGCTGTTATGTATTACTATAACATGCCCCAGGATAACATCTGCTACACTGCGAGTCTGCTTTACTTACAACACTGCTGCACTATAGATTATTGCCAGCTGAAGAAACCGAACAGGCTTTCCTGGAGTCTCATTCTTTCATTTAAAACCCAGAGGGTGATGTCTTCCCTACTGTGGGAGTTGAACCGCAGTGTGAAGCAGATGAGCTTTGTGTTAGTGCTAAGTTTATAGTAACTGTTATTACTCAGAATCAATGAGGAGGGATAATTAGAGGAAAGTCATCAGACAAAAGTGCAGACTCTGAAACAAAGTGTTTCAACATCTCAAGTCCTGGAGTCATGCTCAATTATCGAACAGCAACAACATTTACCTCTTTGTAGATGAGGGGAGAGGTTACGTTATTAACACAAGTTTCTTGTAAAACTTTACCATTTACCACTTTCAATTATTGCATTCATCTTTTTTTTCTTTTGAAAATGTTCTATTAAGATAAAAAATACTGCAAACCGTGTTTTACAGCACTTTTAAACCTATAGCACATGTATCTTACAGGTCCCATGTCATGCTTTTCCAGTCATTACCCGTCCCCTTGTGTGTTATGAAGCTGTTTATGCATGTAAACGGTCTGCAGAGTCACAAACCCTCAAAGTACACCCTGTAGCGAGTAAAACTCTAACACAGAAAAGACCTGTCTATGCTGCCCCAGAAAGCCTCGTTGGAGATTTCTCTTTTTCTTCCTGGGTAGAGTGACGTATTTGGGTATAGTGGCGTAACGTGGTACTGTATACTAGAATAGATTTATATTGTGCAATTTTCCAAAATCACATTGGTTTCTCATACAGCATCTCTGTATAGTATGTGTATTCACTCTCTGTCCTAAACGGCTTGTTGGAGCTCCTGCCCCCCCCCCTCCCTGTGAGCCCAGTGGCCGTCTGCGAGACAGCGAGACACAGCGAAACCCAGCCCGCAACCAGCCATTTGGACCAATCCGCGGAGCCGTTACACTGCGGGTGTGTGTGTGCTCAGGCTGGTTTCAGGCTGGTTTCGGGCTGGGTTTCGCTGTGTCTCTCTGTCTCGCAGACGGAATTATGATCAGTAGAAATGGCCAGGACATGGGACCTTTAAAGCAGTGAAGTTGCTGTTTGGTAGTTTGTAAAGATGTTACATCACACACAGCTCCTGAACTCAATGTTAAGGATTGGTTTTTACAGCGCTCATAGAACAGGGAACATTTGAGGAGGAGAAGACGGATGAATAAGTGTCAGTTCCCCCTCCTGAGAGTTAACAGGCTCAGTCTGGCTCAGAGCAAACTAAATGATCTGTCTTTTGTTAAATAGCTACAACCTCACCTTAAACCAAGCATGGAGTACTGAAAGGATAAGCCAATTAATAAGAGACTTGTTTATTGATTAAGTAATTTACTGAGCACAAATCTGTTGGTGTTGCAACAAATGTTCCTCTAATAAGTGAGCACGTTCTTTCAGTATGTGAGGTACATCGACTTCCTATTACGTTTTTTTTTATAAATCCTTTTGCAAAATGGAAATGAATAATAGAAATGTCCTTATATCGATCAATAATTATAATAGGCCCAGTCTTGCGGAAAAAAATATAATATACATTTTATGTACAATGTTATTCTGTGTCCCAATTCTATTCTAAATGTGTTCTCCTTACATTGCAATCTTTTCACACCTGAAAAGTGACAAGAAAATAGATTAACAGTCTGTATACATTCTACACCGACGTATTCTTTGAGTGTGCTCATAATCACAATGTGACACACACAGGAAATGAAGTGCACAGCTATTACAAATAAATAGTAAATGTTTTACAGATGCATAACAGCAGAAAAACCTAAAAAACAAAAAAATGTTTATTTGGCAGTCCTAAGTTGGATTTTGACCAGCGTCTATCAAAGTATTTTATTTATTTGTAATACTAATTTACATTTACTTTCTGTTTACTCCCCCCAAAAATGCACTGTGACAATTAGCATTAGCATTTAGTAAAGTTTGCAGTTGTTCTCAGAGCCACCGCTTAGTCACCATTAGAGGAACAGTAGACGTCTCTGCTGTTTTACCATTCAACATGGTGCCACTAGCTCAGTGGTTCTCAAAGTGGGGGGCGCGCCCCCCCAGGGGGGCGCAGAGGCATGACAGGGGGGGCGCGAGAGACCAGGAGGAAAAATGGTTATAAAAAAAAAAATAAAAAAAAAAATGTTTTAAAAATTATTGATTCGAAAATAATATTATACAGTACTATTACGTCTGGGTCTCTGTGTTTCATTAAAGTTTGGCTCTGTGTGTGTGTGTGGAACGAGCCATTTTGTGTGCGTGCGCGAGTGAGAGCGCACCGGTACCGGAGATCGTTGTTGTTAGCTTCTGGTGCTAGCGAGCTACGCTAACGGATATAAGGAGCTTTTTCAACAACAAAGTGGAGGAGAGTCCTCTCCTGTCAGAATGAGAGACTCAGTGAGCTAAAGGACTCTCAGTGTTATCTCAGTGGGTCTCAAACGTTTTGGTCACCATTAATGTAAACAATTATTTCCGAGGCCCCACGTTTATATGATCATTATAGTTATAAAAAAATAAGAGAATAAATTAAAAACAGGTATGAAATACTATATGACATTAAAATAAAGTTTAAAAGGGGAGTGATATGTAAAATATCCATAAAGAAATGGGTGTTGAGAGATGTATCCATAGATCTCTTCATGTTGCTCTCAAAGTGCACCAGATTGATGCTTTTAACTTCAATATTTAAAAATCTTCCCAGGGGAGCTTGCCCCCTGACCTCCCTATGTGAGGTCCACACACCACCTATAAAAATAACACTTTACCCCTGCTTACACCTATATGCCGTGAGCTGATTATCGAGCCTTCATTGTAACAGTCGCGGGTACACTGTGTGTGTGTGTGTGGGGATTGTTACAGTAGAACATTCCACTGTAGCGACCAGTACATTAATGGGAAACCCTAAATGTTTGAGCACCCTCTATGAAACGTCAAGCTACCCCACAGCACCCCCAAAATAGAATCTCTGGCGCCGCCACTGAGCCTGACTATTTGTGTTGGGGGGGCCCGACTTTTTTTTTTCTCCAAAGGGGGGGCCTGACAGAAAAAGTTTGAGAACCACTGCACTAGCTATACAGAGAGACATTTATCAATGTATGAATCCAACTTGTTGCCAATAAAGGTCAACAAAGTTTATCGATTATTCAATATTGGTTCAACCTTTAAACCTACCGCATCTGATCCACTTCTATAAATAACAGCTATTTGTCTTTCCAGGGACCTTTGGGCTACATTGGCCCCGCGGGGATACAGGGACCAAAAGGCCCGCGTGGTTTGTTGGTAAGATGAAGATTAATGTTAGTTTGGTAACTCTCCGCAACATTTCAGCCAATTCCAGTGCTCTGAACTCTCACAAATTGCACACTTGCCATGAAAAATAAGCAGAGCTCCGCCTAATGCTCCATCATACGTGTCGTCAGTCTCTAACATGGCTCTGCTTCCCAGGGTATGGAGGGAGCTCTGGGCCCCGTTGGCATCATTGGCCCCAGCGGTCATCCTGTATGTACCTCATATCTCATCCTATCTGCCAAGCTTTATGTGACTTCTCGCTGCGTTTTGGCAGTGATGGAGTGATCCTCTGTCTCCTTTCTCTCCATCAGGGACCCAAGGGTGACAAAGGAAGTCGGGGGGAGACGGTGCGTGGTGCCTTTTTGATGAATCCTTTTTGTCTGTACCGTGAGCACAGGATAGGATACTTAGTATGGAGACGGCACGCCACTCCTTTGCCCCTCAGCACTTTTCATTTCCTATTGTACTTCACTGTTTGTTGCTACACTCACAGTGACACTTAGCTGCTGTGGAATTCCTGTCAGGGTGATAAATGTGGGCTGCATGCTCATCTCAGGCTTCTTTTTGTGTGTTTGTTGAGCGCTCATACACAGGCAGATTTCACAAGCTCACTCCCAAAACAACAACATCTACGTATGAGTTTGCTGCGTGAAAATAGGATTTACTGTGTAGAAATAGGATTCCTGAGTGTAGTTCTGCAAAGAAAAGCAAGAGGGCATTTCAACACACAATAGGTAAAGACTGTGTATTGAATTGGTAGCACAAAGATGGCGTAACACTGTGCATGATAGAATGAGTTTGAGAGAACACCGTATATTATTCTATTATTGCAGGATTGTCCTCTGACATTGATTACATTTTTCCTTTCATCTCTAACAGGGGTTGCAAGGACCAGGGGTGAGTAATAATTCACATTTTGTAGCTTAATCTCTATTCTTTGCACAGGCTCGGGGGCTGAGAAGAAGAAACAAATGAACCACTTTATCATCTTCAATAAAGGCAAACTTGTTAATCATTTTAAGGCTAACGTGGTGATGCCATTTTTCAGGGATTTGCTGGCCCTCGTGGACCACCCGGACCACCAGTAAGTGTTACATTCTGTATACATCACACTTTCATTCATCGTAATCTGGTCTAGATTTTAATGTCTGAACGTGGAGAAAGAATAAAGTTATTCTCAGTTAATAGTATTTTTTAAAACATGTTTCTAAAAATCAAGATCAAGGAGAGCAGAGGGGAAAAGACTGGTGCCCACTGATTGATTATCAGTCTGTTAGAGTGCGCTGAACAGACATGGTTTGACTCTACTGTGTATTCATTTAAGTCAAAATGTACAAATGCAAAAAAAACGGTGTTTTCATCATTCAGATCCCTAAATCAAATTGAAAACGACTTGGCTGTGGGTGCAGAATCTAGCCTGCTGGGAAATTATTTGAGAAGGAGAAAGTAATGTCTGCATTAAAACTGTAGTTAAACTGTGAGCCAAGTTATGTTATTGGGAAAATAATGCAGTAACCGTACAAAACATGTTCCTCAGTCCTGACCTGCCATGACATGAGGAGTTGGGATTACACACCAAAATCGCAGCAACTGAGAAACACCAGTGAGACATGACCAAAGTTTGGTTATGATCCTATTGATAGCACTGACGTAATACACATGGAAGATACATTTCCAAATAGGCATATTGGTCGATTGCTTCGACATCATCACCGTGGTTATAAATTAAAGAATTTGGCCATTCACTTTAGTTATTTAGCATTTAGCTTCATATGTGAACTGCAGGCAATGAGATTTGGTCTGCTACTGATGACATGCACGACTCCACAGAGCCCCGAGGCCCCCCCAATCTCAAAGTTTATTAATATTGAACGTGCTCCATTTCAAAAGTTGCAATAACTTTAACAAAGTACCCCCTTGGGTCCACAGCAATGCACCCGCCAAATGTGAAGTGGATTGGATGATATGCAAAGGACGTGCATGCACATAATCAAATCTAACTAGTTACAGACCTGCTCGTTTTCCACTGTGAGCTGATTCAAAAAGATGTTAGCCAGCGGCTTTTCCTCTCTGCATTTGACATGCCTCATTTCCTGTGCATTCATGCCTCATTTCCTGTGAATATCTCCATATTTGATTAGTGTGGCAGAACCTACCACCAACAGGATTTACAGAACTGTTTTGTGAACAGAAATGCACTGTGTGGCTGTTGCTAAAAGTGCCAACACAAAAGTCTCAGTTTTCTTGGTGCGTAAAACATAACCAATAAACTCTTTGTTTACAGGGTCTTCCAAGCTCTGCCCATTTACTTGTAAGTATGTTTCTCTTTATAGTCGAGCCAGGGTTTGGGGAATAATGAAATGTTATGGAACAAACTGAAGAGTAAAAATGTTGCGGTAACCTTATTGCCTTGCTGTCTTCTTTGGTAGAGAAATGAGGCTCTCGGTGCCACCTTTCAAGTCATCATCGATTCCCATGCTGCACTGAGGCCAGAGGTTAGTTCTGAGGAAAACGGCTCATTGCAAATAATCACTTTTGATCGTTGGGGCCCTAATGGGTGTAACTTTTGGTGTCTGAAGATTATATTTTTTTTAGTAAAGCCTGAGTTGTGTCTGTGTATTTTCTCAAAACAAAACAAAACAATGGTCAGCCACTCCCTGCTGAAATTCAATTTGACATGTACCTCACGTCAATGTTAATCAATAACCTCACAACAAATCGCAAGATGGTAAAAAATAAAGAGGCTGAATCCGAAATCTGTATCTGAGAGAATCCAGATTCTGCATGTACGCAGCTGTATCTACGCCTCCCATGCTGATTTTGACAGAGAATCAATGCTATGGCTGTGTTCTCATGTGTATTATCTTATTGATACATTTATTCTATTAATTCAAAACAGAAACCTTATATTTGTATTCAGCATTTCTGATGCTATTGTAATGTTAAATCAATAAAAAAATGTATTTACTTTCAATAATAACACAAGTGTTCAGTAACATAACTACATGTTCATACATCAGTAATATAGGCCTATATCTGTTTCAATGCAAAGTTGTGGTCCTTGCTTATGGGTATTATTAAACCGCTAAAAAAGGTTGTCTGATCTCATACAGAATAAGAACGTTTTACAAATCGCATGTCAACTATGCCAATATTTCTATCCAATCAGAGCGTGGAGATGCCCATGTTAGACCAGGGCACAGAGATCTTCAAGACCCTGCAGCACCTCAGCACCCTGATCCAGAGTCTGAAGAACCCTCTGGGGACCCGGGACAACCCAGCACGCATCTGCAGAGACCTGTACAACTGTGAGCAGAGGCTGCACGATGGTGAGGGGACCCTTTAAACCGCTTAGTCATTCCTGCACACATTTATATTCTCCTCTCATTATTTAAGTTGTTTCCTCCTCTGCTGCTCTCTGACAGGCACTTACTGGATCGACCCCAACCTGGGCTGCGCTGCGGACACTATAGAGGTGATGTGCAACTTCACAGCTGGAGGACAGACCTGCCTGAAACCGGTCACTGTGTCCAAGGTGTGGATCCTTTCAGAGTTCAGCCATTTGCTTCAGATAAACATGACACCCAGTATAATTAAAGGTGTATTACGTAAATGAAGACAAGATCAATTTGGGAGCTTTTCATGCAGGAAGTGGATGATTATGTAAATCATGAATGCTTGTGTGGACAGAGAATGTTCTCAAAGAGTTTAATGTGATATAATAAGGTGCACAGCTGGTCATTTTCTGACAATGTACACTGTAGCTCTTTTGTAAAAGAGAATTATTTAAAAGATAAGCCCAGCTGGCAACTTGACCTCCAGGAACTTCATCTCTCCTTTTATTGTTTTTGATTTTGAGATTTACCTAAGATTCAAACTGAATAAAACATCACAGCACATAAATGCCGACTGACTCAATGTCTGCATAAACTGTTTACAAATCAGATAATGAGGTCAAAATCTGTGATCCAGATGTAACGTTTTGTAATTCAATACACAATTGTAGTTTTATTATATAGTAGGATTTTTTTGTTTTAAGATGGGCCTGTTTTTCCAAACTATGATTACTTCAGAGACATACATTCTTGCTTTACAGTTGGAGACAGGAGTGGGTCGTATCCAGATGAACTTCGTCCACCTCTTGAGCACCGAGGCGGTGCAGCACATCACCATCCACTGCCTGAACACTCCTGTGTGGGCAGCAGGACCCTCACTGCAACCCTCCTCCAGATCTGTGAGCTTCAAGGCCTGGACGGGGGAGAAGATTCAGGCCGGGGACCTTCTAGAGCCGCTCATACCCAGGGACGACTGCTGGGTGAGTACTGACTTCAACATTCTGAGAAAATAAACATTCTGCCATTCTTGCTGAGAGTTAGATGAGAAGCTCTATACCAGATCAGTCAAACAAAGTCCTGAGTTTCCATAGATCAGCGGCTGGAATATGTATTATTTCACTGAGATGCGTACATGTGCACAATATGAGCAACACATGGACCATATGTAGAGAAACTGCTCCTTGAAGCCACTTCAAGAAGTCAGAAACGCCACAGAGAACCGGTTAAGTATGGAGCTTTAATCACTGCGAGTGGGCGATTAGCTTAGCTTAGCATAAAGACTAAAAGCCATGGAAAACAGCTGGCCTAGGCTCTGTCTAGAATCTCCAGAATCTGCCTGCCAGCACACCTTAAACTCCTGACCATGTTTCCTGATTGTTTAATTCATACAACGGGTCTTTTGGATATAACAAAACAGTTTATGTTTTCATGAGGAGTTAAGTCCATGTTTGTTTTGCTTAGCTAGATAGAGACATTGTGTATTCTGGCAAGAAGTCTAAAAGTCTAATAGGCCAGAATACAGTACAAAACCAAAACATCATTTTTATATTTGATTGTGCCTTAATTAAACAATTGTGAAACAGCAACTGTCAATGATGTATTTCAATTCAGAATCAACTTTTGATTGAACCTTACAAGCTGTTTCTCTGCCTGTATGCCAAGATTGCTAGTCATATTCTTGTGCTAGCTCCATACATGGCTGTTTGACATGATACTTTGACTAAACCGCAGACCTCATGTCAGCGTTTTTGGAGGGGAGTATTTCCTAAAAGTTGCACAATAAAGCCTGGGGATTATTCAGAGTGACTGGGAAATTGTTGAAGGGCACATTTGCTGTTGTTTTTTTTTCTCTTTCTTTTTTATTGCTGCAGAAAATACAATTCCAGATTCACCCCCATTGTATCGGGGTTGGATGCAGAAATCTTGGCTAAAGATGTTGCACCAAAAAAGTCTTAATAAATCATTGTGACAAAAGAATATTATGTTGTCTTCCACATCATTACACTCTGACATAATGACATCTCACTTTCAGATCAAAGATGGCCGCTGGCATCAGACCCAGTTTATCTTTCAAAGCCAGGACCCGAACTTACTCCCCATCGTGGACGTGTTGAACCTGCCGACAGCAGATGGCGGCGCTCGCTATCACCTGGAGGTCGGACCCGTGTGCTTCTTATGAGGCTATGAGGGGGGGGGAGCTCCTCGAAGGAGAGACTGCATAGAGGAGGATGGAGGGGGGGAAACTGATCTTTCTTCTGTGGTTTCCCGGAAAAACAGACCCCCAACTTTCTCTCCGCAAAATATGCTTGGACTGCAGAAACAGGAGGGGGGGTCGGAGCTAGAAGGCCCCTTGAAAATGCAGAGACTTCTAGCACAAATCAGCCTATGGAAAACAATAAGCTTTCTTTCTCAGAGACTTGTTTGTGATACAAGACCTGAATGTACTATTTTGGTGGGAGGTAATATGTCTTGCTGTCATCTCAGGCCATGTTGTATCATATTTTCTTCACGGCCTGAGTCCTGATTTTGAAAATATCTAAGAGATCTGTACAGAAATATTGAACAACAGATGCAATGATTCCTTTTGTAATGTTTAAGTATTATTTATACATGTATATGTACTGTATATTGTAATATAAAGTGCAATGGTTATTGTTCCACACCCTTGGGAATATACAGTATGGGCATCACTCATTCAGGTATACGGCGTGCCTCAGACACTGTCTCCAGGTAAGTCTTTTTGATAACTGTAGTGCTGAGACACCCCTCGTTTAAAAAAATATCCTCACACAAACAACTGCTGTGTGCTGCGCTCCATGTCAAAATGGATCGAAGCCTTCCACAGTGTGAAGCGAGAAAAGTGTGTTGATGCTACCTCCAACTGCGCGTCTCGTCTCGCGGCAACCGAGACGTTACCTGATATAATCTGGGGTGACACAGAGGTGAGACTCGGGTGATAAACTCTTCAGCAAAGCTTTGTTTGTGCTTTAAGAAAAAAGGGAAGACTAAATTCATTAAATTATATTGTTACGGTAGTATTTTTAATATTTCCAATATTCTTTGTACTGTCTGACACTGAGTCTGACTCTATAAGTTAAGTTTTTGTAACTGTCAATTATGCCACTTGTTATTAGCTACAGTGTATTCTTTTTAAATTCTGATTAGCTTTCCAGTTCAAAACAAGGCATCAACGTCACATTAGGGGCTTTCAAGATTTGTTCGGTCTGTACATTTTTCTAATTACCGGTTCGAGACAATCCTATTGTAGGATATTAACAAACGTGTTTATGCATTTCTCACTCAAAGGTGCAGCCATGGTGGTTGTTGCCACCAATCTATAAACTCAGAGGATTTCCAACAATACACAACACTACCATGGCACACAGTGTTTGCTCTGTACACACACTTTATGCTGCGTTTATGAAGTCTAATGACTCCACAGGCAATTTAATAAAAATTCTGAAACATTTGTTTATAAGCAGCTTTCCATTTGTTTCTGTCAAAGAAAGCTTCATAGCAAAGGAACGGAATAAAATGCATTTAAACTGCCTACTTGTGGCAGTGCTTTTTAGCTTCCTTCTATTCATTTCACACCTGGACCTGTCAAACCCAGACAGCAGCCGCCTCTGCAAACAGAGGGAAACATTGTGTCCTTGAAGTAATGCCTTGTTTTTCCATCAGTTTTAGTGGCAATGCGGGGATTCTTGGTACAAAGCACAGGCAGACTTGTAGGTTGAAAGCAATATATTATCAGACTGCTGTATCTCAACATGCATGATCCTATCGGGGGCACATGGCATGGCGGCCCCCGTCAACAGGAAGGTTGACTCCAGTGATGAAGCTGGCAGCATCGGACGCCAGGAAGGCGATGGCGTGGGCCACTTCCTCCACCTCCCCCGGGCGGCCCAGGGCATGGGTCTGCTTACACTTCGCTAGAAACTGGTGATGAAAGAGATAGACAGACACTAAGTGTTACTGGGATACATGGCTGATCGATTTACAATTTGGGCTGTTCTCTGCTTTCCTTTTAAATGAAAGCTTCTATTGAGATGTTTCAATGCAGCTTAAATTATGTTGAAGTGTTTCATCTGATTACAAGTTTTCAATTGAATCAACTTCCTTTAATGAATATAACTTGTCAGCAAATGTCTCTTTTAGGGTGCGAAAAGATGGAGAATGTATTTTAACTTTTTTAATACGTTTAGACATTTTAACTTTACAATGTTTTAGAGTTATGTAAAATATCAAAATTAATCCTATACAGCCACCACTGAAGTCAAATTCAACAAATATATTTTAACTAAAAATATCACTGTAGCCTAATATTTATCTGCAACTGTGCAGAAGAAGAAAAAAAACTTTGTGGCATTTAAACGTTTTCAATTTTAGTATTTGAATAATTTTGTAATAAATGATGCTTTAAACTATTCAGTGAAGACTTACTTATAAATGTGTCCTCTGTGCTAATCAGATGCTAGGATATGATGGACCTAAACATGGAGACTAACACAGAACCTCTGAAAGAACACGTGTAGAGGAAACACTCAGTTTAGATGTGTTACCTGGGCATACTGCTCCTCATTCAGTCCCGCTCTCTTGTGGACATCAGTGATGATCACACCGGGGCTGAAGAGATGCCGCAGGAGAAGCGACACAACACATGGTGCATCACAGATTTGATTTCAGACAGAATGAGTGATATCCCTGCTTTTTAAATCAGAAATGCATAGGATATCGTATACAATATATGAAAAGGGCACAAAATATTATGGATGAATTGCATTCACTCACCACACAGAATTCACTCTGACTTGCTTTGATGCCAGCTCTGAAATCAAATGGAGTCATGATGTTTATATTGGGACATTCTAAAATGGCTAATACACAGAATATAAGCAGAAAAAAGCGTCTCACTCACCAAGCGCTGTACAGCTCGTGAACTGATCAATGGCTGACTTGGACATGCAATATGCCAGCACACCAGGGAACTATGAAGAGAACATGTTTCACAATTCTCCTAAACATAAAGACATGATATGCAGTGGGACTAGTTTTAAAGCATGGCTAGCTGCTTAATACTCACTGATCTCTGCCCATTGACACTGGACACGTTGACGATGGAGCCTTTGGTCTCGATCAGGTGGGGCACACAAAGCTGAGTCAGGTGGTATACAGATCTGGAAGATGGGTCAAAAGTTAGGGGACATTCTTACTAAAAATGTAAAATATACACTTTTTGCTAAATCTCAAGTTAGTAAGTACTACTAGTCATCTGTCTTCATGGTCTGTAAAGGACAATAACATCTGAATATCTGTGATGGGATCAGTGTTGAAAAATATTTTTAATTGCAGTGCTGGTCACACAATGAATTGAAAATGTATTGCATTTTGTCATAATGTGTTGTTATGCACTTTTGTTTACTTCCATTAAGTACCTCCCCATTATCTTTCCGCTCCAAAAATGTGTTTCTTGGCCGAAAATATCGAGTTCTGTGTTTAAAAAATTTGAAACTAATCCTTTTTGATACACATCCACGCATCACTTTAGCCGACATCCAGCTACTACACACCCTGTACTGCTGTATATCCGTTACTAAAATGTCTCTCTGATGTCAGGTGTTTGATATCCTACCTGACGTTGATGTTCATGATCCTGTCATACTGAGCCAGGTCAGTTGTCTCGATGCTGCCCATGGCCAGGATCCCAGCGCTGTTCACCAGGACGTCCAGCCGGCCAAAGTGAGAGATAGTTTGCTCCACCGTCTTCTTCACCACCTCTTCATCAGTGAGGTCTCCAGGGACAAGCAAGGGCTAATAACACATGAAATAACACTCAATGTTTCATTATGTTCTAAGGCAGCAATCTTAGGATGATAGTCACAATGTTTGAGTGTTTATAATGTTATTGTATCTGTAAAACATATGGAAATGTGTGTATTGTCTTAGGTAGGCTACTTACTAGTATTTACTACCATGCTGCTTTTGCCAATTTGACACAAAATGAATGGAAATGATGTTTACCCTAAGGTAGTTGTTCTTAATATTGCTACATTTAAAACATACTCGAGGACAATATGCTCATCCAGAAATGCATTAGAACTCAAAATGCCACATTTTGATACCTTGGAAACTTCAAAATCACAATAGATATGGTCAAATCTTTTTTTTCACATTCAGACCTTTCCGTTCACAATTTATTCTAAATTCAACGGAAGTTTGACACCATGTCCCCATGTCTGTTCTCTGGTTAAACTTTTTCTAGGTCACACAGTTCAGAATGAGAGTTACCTCGGCAGCTCCACAGTCGGTGCATTGTTTGGAGATTTTCTTCAGGTTGTCCATGTCGCGGCCGTTGAGAGCCAGCAGAGCACCGAGTCTGGCGAACAGGACGCTGGTCCCGGCCCCGATGCCCGAGCTGGCCCCGGTGATCAGGGTCACTTTCCCCCTCAGGGAAGACACCTGAATCACGGAAAAACACACAGTCCAGCAACTTTCCACAGAATACCTTACAATTAATTATTTAACTAGAGTTATTGTCATAACAGTGCGAAAACAATTATACACGCGCACAACTGCAAATGAAACAAAGCAGACTTATCCTACTTTGAATGCATCATCTGAGGCCATGGTTTCTGTTGAGTTGTGTTGTTTGTATGAACCATAAGTGTGAACTTGCTGTATCGGCTAGTCACCGATACATGCCTCGTCCACTAGTGATGACGTAGTTTGACAGTTCATGTACACCTATGATTTACACACGTGTTCATTGTGAATGCTTTGGAACAATAATAAAAAGGAAAACGGGGAAAATATTATTATTATTATACACGTTAGGATAAACAGCCTTACGATGAAACATTCAACAAGAGTTACTTTCATAACAGTACTACAACAATGATGAAATACATGCACACAACTGCAAATCAATCAAAGCAGACTTACTTTGAATGCATCATCTGAGGCCATGGTGGAGGCTTCAGCCATTTTTGCAGTCAGTTTTTGTACTTATTAATTGCAGCTTACTTTGGGTGGAACTGTTATAAGGCTTTGCCTTTTGAGTATGTTTTTGAGTTTTCATGTGTTTTTTTACATCACTAAGTTTGGCGTAAAAATCAGCCTTACAATACAGGCAATATGCCCGTGTATCATCTCCAATAAATGGCTTCAACCAGCCTTCGAATTCAGGGTTTGTTTCCCACTCCTTCCTGTATTTTTGAGCGTAGATTTTAGAAATGATGAGCTAACTAGCTATAGTAGCTAAATGTTAAGCTTATGTCAGAGAGACACACTTAACGGCAGCTTTGCGCAGGCGCGTTTCATTTGCAGTCTGGACTTGGTCACGTGTTGCTGTTCTCTCTGCTCTGACTGCAGCTGGGACCGTGGATGTAGAATAAGAATCAGAATCCGCTGATCGTTGAGGACAGTAATTTCAGAACGTTACATGCTTTCACGTCAATCTCCAAAACACCAGAAAATACTTAAACACCAGAAAAAGTCGTTAGATATGACAGTAGTCGCTTTTGACAAAGAAAGTCGCCAAGTTGACACATTAAAAATGTAAATGGTTATGTGATGGGATAAATAAAGATGTAGGTTTTTTTTGTACAGATGTTTCTTCTACGTCTGCCAAGAGCTAGGCTACAGCAGTGTGACACCGCTTTAAAATACGTTATGAATAAGAAAGCAACAAAAAACGTGTGAATTCTCTTTTTGTTGTTGTTGAATCCCCTTTTGTTTTTTCCTGTGTTGTTGTACCTGCGCACCCCTGATGTGGTGTTCATGTTTTCTTGAAATAAAAAATACATCTATACATCATTTGGATTATCTACATGTATTGGGTTGTTGAGTCGATGTATCTAGTGTTCCAAAATTTGGATGTTTTTTTTCAATACAAATACAAATGTATAACTGACAACCAACAACTTCAGCCTCTTGACTTTTAGACGGTGACATTTGAACAGTTATGCATGCAGAAATTGTTTTTGAAATTATGGAAAAACATATCAACTATAAAAGATTTATTCAGTACAAAACATTAAACAATTATTTACATAGCCCATCAAGAAAAAAAAGATTCAAATCTGTATATCAGTGAAGAACAAAGCCAGGCATGTTTACCTTTTGGACTGAATTCTGAATGTGTTACGGTTAAACAATCTATAACTCTTCTTTACAGCGGCTTTGTCACATGCAAGGAATGCAAACCATTTCTTAAAAATCATAATCATGCCTAGCTATAAATTGGATGGCATAGCCTAACATTTGTCTTCTGGATTCAAAATGGAGTACTACTCAGTTTACAGCCCTCAACTTCCTTGTCTGGAAAGTTATAAATTAACTTTGGCAATGTACGACACCCTGTATAAATAGGCTCAGGGGACATTTCAGAGTCCAAGTTTGTGTTAAAGGCCTATTAGCATATTTGAGGAGAAAGCTTTCAGCTATCCAGCAAAAGGGTTGGCATGTATGGTCACATCCTTTATCCGGGTTTCAGTCAGTGGTCGGAACGTCTTTTCATTGACAGGCAGCTTCTCCAGTTCATCCAGGGTCTCAAGGCCATCGATTATTCTACATGTTGAAAAGAGTATGATCAGCTGCCATTATGAGTTATATTCTAATTAATCTGTAACTGTCAAGCACATTAACCAGGTGTCAAAACAAGTTTCAACAATCATTCTCTCAAAACACTTCAAAAAAGTTGCATACTTTCCAAACACGGTGTACTTCATGTCCAGATGGGGCTGTTTAGCATATGTGAAGAAAAACTGGGAGCCATTTGTGTTGGGGCCATTGTTAGCCATTGAGACGACTCCTCTGACATTATGCTGGAATAAAAAAAACAAAAGATGTTTAAGACTAAGCCCTGATAAAGGTTAAACTTGCTCCCCTGATGTGAAAAGCTACCAGAGTAGTACTCACTTTAAGATGTTCACTGTACTCGTCGTCAAATTTGCGACCCCATATACTTGTTCCTCCTTTGCCTGTGCCTGAATGGTTTAATGAAAATACAGAGAATAAAGAAGAAGAAGTGAGGAATGAATTCTGACATTTCTATGTTAAATTGCAGCACATGCACAACAACACCTTACCTGTAGGATCACCAGTTTGAACCATGAAACCTTTAATGTTTCGGTGGAAGAGACTGCCGTTGTAGAATCCACTGGCACACAAAGCAAGAAAGTTCTGTAAATAGTCAAACATAGGTTAGAATATTTGATGACTGCTTTGTGGAAAATATATGTAAATTACTGTTTAGGCCTTCAATCATTACAGTAGCATTTTTATTTACACAATAAAAAAAAGGTACCTTACGGTTTCATTTTTGTATTACTTTTAGAAAAATATTTACATTTGTACTGTACATCTTTAGTTTTGCCAAAATTAGTTACTTGTTACTTTGAAGTCAGGTTATGAATAACAATATTAATCAAGTAATACATTAGGATATATTTATTTTGTATGCATTAAGCTGCCAGTATTTACTCTACGGTACAGTTTACCTAACAATAATAGGACTTAAATGCATTTAATTAACGCATTTGTAGCACGTCTCCAGTTTGTGCTAGTTGACTTTCAAAGCCTTTTACTTCTGAATGGACAGAAACAGGAGCCTAGGAGCATGTCATGCTAACTGTAATGTTATTGACTTACCTCACATGATTTTGGTGCCCGTTCACAAAACAATTCAATTTTAATTTCCCCTAGATCCGTTTGAAAGGTGACAGCCTGTAGCAATTACAAAGTAAACAAAATCATTAAAACTTTTAACAGGCACGGTTAAAAGTTCGTTCGTTCGTGTTAGCTAGCTAGCTTAGCCTGTTAGCCAAAAACGCAAAATAAGCACATTTTCATTATAAAAAAGTACGTTTCTGGACTGGCTCCTAACAGACGTTAAAACACATTTTTCGTTGATAATTTTTCAAACACATATGTTATTTTCTATGTTGAAAAATCTACTGGAAAAGTTCACAATCAAACGTACCATTGTAAACGGTGCGTCTTTGAACAAGTGTGTCGAGAAACATGTCCGTCTGGGAGCAAGAGCCCTGCAATGAATGGTTCCGCAATTAATTTACGGTCAATTTAAAAGGACATACACCTGGCAAAACGACGGTTACTATTATTATGGCCTATTTATATGATGTAGGTGTGACCCTATAACCATAATATAATGTTGATGCTGTGCCAAAATGAATGGCTTGCCCAAAGATTCCGGGCACTCTATAGTCGTTTTTTTTTTTAGTATTTCTCTATTTGAGAATGTTAAGATTTATAATTGGATACATTGGTTAAATATAATAAGCAAAAAAAAAAAGGCAAAAAGAGCCTGATATATTTAATGTTAAAAAATATTCTTTACCCAACAAAAATATTGAAATACCAAAATACGAGAGAATCAATATTCACAACATTTAAAAGTTTCCCCAAAAGACACAAGGACAAATTAGGTCAACCAACTTTATTTCGTTTTATTTGGAGGGGATGCGGTGTAGGAGATGATGGGACACATGCTCAAACAGAACACTCACTGTAACATCATTCTTGTCAATACCGATACACTGATGACATTTCTTATTAAAGAAAAATTAAGGATTAGATTAGAGTTGGGAAACATTGAAAAAAATAATTTGTACCCAAGAACATTGCATTTAAGAGATGAACATCGTGGAGTGAGGGTCTTATCACGCCAACATACATACATACACATGGATAACACTATCATACACACTTCATCCATGCTAACCATGAATAACTCATCGTTCTGAAACACTACAGCTCACTTTGTAAATGGTCATTGAGGAAAACACAGAATCAACGTTAAACCAAGTGTCTTGAAAAACACAAACATTTAGTTTGAGCCAGCAGTCAATATTAAATACACCAAACTAGAAAAAGAATGTATAGAAATGCATATAAAACTTTAACTGTATAAAACAATTGTTTAAATTAATTTAAAAAATACCAGGTGTAATCAAAAATAGGCAATTAACTCAAAAAAGAAGTGAGTACTAGCTGGCTTCCTGAGAAATTTAGTTATAATGTATAATACTAATAGCTGTCAAAATGAAAAAAATAATATTAATCAAAATCATAAAAAAGGAGGGAAAGACAGAACAAAATATTAACAATGAGATCAAAAGCTAATCTATAAAATGTTCCTAGCAACCTACACAAATCCTTTTAATGTACTGACCCTTTACTTGCAGTACTCACTGAAACACTTCACATTGAGTAGTTGATTGTCTTAGTCTGTGGTGTATTGCTGAGTGTGCTATTTAAAATGCTCCAGCTGTGACGTAAAGGGAAATACTTTCAAATAAAATGTGAAATACCTATCTAATATCATTTCAATCTTATGACTGGCAGTTATTTAGTCAAACCTTTCCATATAGAATAATCAGAAAACATGTGTTGTATACTTGAAGTTGTATACCATCGTTTGTATTTGCGTTAACATGTGGGAGAGATGCTATAGTGCAAAAGCAGGGAAAAAGAATGCACATTACAGTACTACATCACTTACTATGACATAGTTTAAATGAAGGCAATATTGCACAATATCGCATAGTGAAACATGTTAATTAAATAAATGTACATAGTTTAAAGTATTCCTATGCTTTTCAATGCAGTTATGTTACTGTATATTGCTACTCTCCAGGTTTTCTTTGCAGTTAGGTTTATTAAAACAAAAACTGATTTAATATTTTGTTCTCGGGGTATACATAAGAGCCCGTATTGTGTGCTTTGCTGCGTCAGAGCTGTGCATTGATCTTGTTTTTAGCATTGTTAGCAAGGTGCTGCTTACTGTGGCAAAACACAATTGCAGAAAAGTCATTATCAGGCAAAAAGTTTTAAACATTTCTCAAAAAGTCCACAAACGTTGAAACCAGAACATTTGAAAAAAAATTTGGTTAGAGCTGAAAAGTATGGAGGCCCATGCATGACAGGACAAAACATACAATAATAATGAAAAATATTTCCCATAACTATGAATAATATAAATCAACAGATTATGACACCAAGTTATGTCCAATCAATGACAAAATAATATTATTTTACTTTCTAGATGGTGGCAACCCAGGACTTACTTTGAGTTCAATTTTAAACAACCCATTGATGAACATTAAACAAAATAGGATATTACTTCTACCTGGTGAAGATGGGTTTCCATATGATACACAATACAAATGCCTGGCATAAATAGTTAATTTAATTCAAATCTAAATCAAACTTAGTTTCTTATAACGTGTCACCAAAACATTGAGACAACATATGTATCTTTTATCTGCCAAACTTGATTCCTGGAGTCAAGTATGGTCACAGAGAGGAAAGGAAAAGAAAGTGATGAAATACAAAAAAAACATCACCCTGCAGATGTCTCAACAAAACATAACAGAAATGGTTCAGGAAGAAAATCATGTGAACGGGTAACTGCCATTTAATATTTCTTGCCAATATGTAGGATGAATTTGTAGAAACTATAATTTATCTTTACATCTGGTGGAATGTATCTTGTTTATTAAAGTGTTAAGCTTTTTGAGGTAGAAGCTCAAAGGTAACACAGAAATGAAGTTTCAGAAATGGCCTTTTGGACCTTATTGCATTGTTCTTTCACACAAATAACTGGTTATTACATTTTCATCCAATATAGCAGTTTCAATAGCTTTAGATTAAATATGTAATGTAACTGCAGGGGAAACATCTACACTGAATATTGCAATGTGTTTTGAATGATGCAATTCAGTGACATTTAATTAAAAGAATAACTACACACTTACACTGTTATAACAAATTAAAATAAATGTAAGGCCAGGTGATTTTAGGAGATGTTTGGAAATGAACTTGCTATCTGCATAAATCTCAACTATCAGGGCATGCCAGTGGATATATGCGTCATACCCACAACAGAAAGAGAAATAAACTAGTCTAGTGTTTCAGGTAAGCATCTGCTTCTATTTTAAGCACATCACTAATACTTGGTGGCTCTTTTCAATGTCAATATAGTGTCATCCTGTATAAACCTCATTCAAATGATTTTGATGCAGAGATAACTAATCTCATTCAAAACATCTTCAGCATGTTCCTAAGATTGGTTCGTTTTGTTCTGTGCAATTACTTACAAACAATGTGGATGCAGCATAACCATGAAATGGATGTTGTTCCCACTGAGCAGTATACTGGCAGATAGGGTTGGGTATCTGCTCGTCGATGAGAGGCTCCACAAATGTCCTTTTATGGGAGGGCTATCTTGTAATGCTAGTCAATTAGTTTGCATTAAGTAGAATAACTGATTTTGTTAGTGCTAGGTCAAACACATTACACAACTTTCTGCAAAAAGTGGCCATCTTCAACCCCCCCGCACGTAAACTGGCTCCATGTACGATTGCAATTTTTAGTGTTTAGTGTAGTTTAATACCACATGTTGTGCTGGTACCAAGACTCAGGCCAATCAAAGGCAAATCCTCAGTCTCAACAACATAAGTGACTGTTGACTGAGTGACCCTTCCACATTAAGAAATGCACCCCTGAATCCCTAAACTTTCATTATTTCAACAATTAGCAAGACTATATCAAATCTGTTTCTTTGATCGAAAGACTTGTAAGATATTATAAGTGAAACATTTAATTGTTTTTCCATAAAAGAATAAAAAAGCCTCCATCTTGTCATGATTTCAAGATTAACTAAATGGATAACCGGAGAGCGCAGACCGCGGCAAAGGGTTTATTTCCCCATCTGGAAAATATCCAAAAAGTGAAAAATAAAACAAAATATTCCTTTTGGTCCATGCCACACCCTTCTACCAAGTTAATTGGGAAATGGACAATTTGTGTATTCTATCTTGATTAAACAAAGTCTGATATTATAGACACTGAGCGGTGGGAACTGCCTTTAGGTTTGCCCAGAGTTTTTCATACTTAAATGATCCACCATACCTGAAATGCATAACGTGTACACTAATCTTGCTGTTCATAATGCCACTGCTACATTACTGCTGGAAAGCATCATCACTGGGTTGTTATGTGGAGGCCTGAGGGGTTGTTTGTAAAGGAAGGAAACTCAACTGCACAGTCATGAATTAAGATAACAACCTGAAGCCATCAATATTTTGATTATGCTTACTTGTCACTGGTTCTTGATACCCAACCTTACTGGCAGTACACTGCAGCAGTACTCTTGTCTGCTGCAACAAGCCTTCGGGGACAGTATAGGCATTACAGCCTGTGTCAGGTCCCACTCGGACAGTATCCATTTTATCTCACAGCCACAGTTCAAGCCTGTTCTTTGTCACTTTTCCATAACTGTTCCTTGACCTCCGTGGGCAGGGTGTTGAAGAGGTCCTCCTCCACCACGAGGCCGGTTCTCTTTAGCTGTCGGCACTCGGCCAGCTCCACGGGCAGACACTCCAGACGGTTTCCTCTCAGTTCGAGCTGTGTCAGCCCGGTCAGTTCTCCAAACCGCGATGGCAAGGACTGCAGGCAGTTGTTTCCCAAGTTCAAAGTGCGAAGCTTTTTGCACTGGAACAGCTCATTAGGCAGGCTCTCGATCTATGTTTTTAAGTGAGGAAGGGGTTGTGATAGGATAGAAACGGAGAGGTTTTAGAACTTGTAACTTCAAACATTTTCCAGCAGCAAACAAGCCATAATATAATTTAAAACATGTCAAATTTAAAAAAAGATATAAATGGATCACATTGATTATTAAAGTACTCACCCTGTTAGCGGTCACTGCCAGGTACTGGAGATTCTGGAGGAAGCCAATGTCTGCCGGGATATAGTTCAGGTTGTTATGACTCAGGTCCAAGAAGCGCAGCTTGCGGCAATAAAACAACTGGCTGGGCATCTTCTCGATCTTGTTTCTGTTCAGGTAAAGTTTCTCAAGGTTGGTCAGTGTGCCAATCTGGATGGGGATATAGGCAATCTGGTTGTACCAGAGCTTAAGGCAGACTAGCCGATGAAGGTGCTGGAAGCTGATGATCTCCTCGATGGTCTTAAGGTTGTTGTCTTTCAAATCGATCTCCTGTAAGTTGTGCAAGCTGAAGATTGAGTGTGGTATGCGTTCTAGGTCACAGCGAATGAGCTCCAGCTCTGTCAGGTTAACCATCTTCTTCAAGCTGTTGAGCACCATCAGCTTGGTGCCTTCATTATTGACAGAAAGCTTCTGGAGGTGCATGCCCACATCGGTCACCACCTGAGGTAGCTTGGTGAGATTGCTCTTTAGACGGAGAACTTTGAGCCTCTTGAGCTCCCGAAGCCCATCAATGACAATGTAGCGGTTGTTCTCGGCGCTGAGATTCCCTGTCAGGTGAAGCTCGCTGAGGTTCTTCAGACTGTAGATCCATAAAGGAATCTCTTTGATGTCAGTGAACTTGATGTGCAGGGACTTCAAGTTCTCTCGCAAAAACGCCAAAGCAGGAGCTTCGATTTTGGCCGGTGTGTGGTACAGCCACATCTCTCGCAGGTTGATCAGCTGGGCGATGATCGGCGGGATGGTGACATCGGGGATGAGCTCCAGTTTAAGAACCTCCAGCTCCATCAGGTCAAAGACTGTGTCCGGGATGCCACTTAGCATGAAAAGGTGCAACTCCAACTTCTCCTGAGAGTTCTTGGTAATCCTCTGCCGGAGCTTGTCTAGTGTCCACTCATTGTTGAGGTTAAGTTGCCTCAACTTATTCTCGCTGACTTCCGAGAGGAAGACAGCGAATCGTTTAGAATACAGAGGGTCGTACTGATCGATCATGTGCATCATGAATGCAAAGTCATTCTTAACATCTGGTATGTCACTGTAGCTGCTCTCTTCCCGTATCGACTCAAAGGAATACTTCTTGAGAGAACGCCGAAGCATCCAGCAAAGCGTGTACATGCAGATAAAACCATACACCATTACTAAGCTAATGTAGAAACAGGCTAGGATTTTAAAAAGTGTAGCCAACGGGTGGGCACAACGGTACACACTGTAACCGGTCAGGCTCTCTATATTTACTGAACAGTCAACACTGAACTTAATGTCATGCACATAATACCCTGTATAGCAGATTATAAATATAAACTTGATGACTTTGATGATAGTCTGACGGATGTACAGTCTGTACACGATGTCTCCTTCCTCAACGTGTATTCGGAACTTCTTGACTTTTTCGAACAAGGCTTTTGCCTGTTCACCCTCTTTCTTGTCCAAAACCCCAGTTTCTGTTCTATCTACAATGCCCTGCTCAAAGCGTGTTTTTGTCCTTTGGAGCATAGGAACACTTGCTTCGACATCCTCACTGATAACGGACTCCTTGTGGTCCATTGAGCCGTTCATTTTCATTGGTTTTGGGTCACTCTCTTCAACCACTGTCTCCGACAGTGCCCTCGTCGTCCATGGAGAGTCAAAGCATTTCAGCAAGATGGACACAAAGTGCTCTAGTTTGGAACTTGTCCGTGGAAACTTAAACCAAAAGTTGCTGCAAGCTAGGAAAATAAGAGTGTGGAGTAATACTAGGTAAGGAAAATACTTGGCAAACCAGTGCAGTCTATTCTCATAGCACACAGCATCCACATAGTTGTACTGGTGGCGATCAAGATCATACTGGATTCCTTTGGGTTCCGTGAACAATGATTCGGAGAGGGTAGCAGTGAAGTTCTTTTTGCAGGTCTCATTGACCACCCATTTGCAGGGCAGGCAGATCATCTTGTCCTGGGTGACCTGCAGTGTCCCCCCAAACACCGAAATCATTAGCATAACAATGGAGATGTAGTCTGTGAACACATCCCACCATGGTTTCAGGATGCGGTATGCCGGCTGTGTGTCCACAAAGTACCGAAGCTCAGTGATGGGGATCATGGTTAATCTGTGGTGGGGGAGAAAAATTGAGGACATATTCATAACAGAGGACAGTGCTGTACTGAATTACAATGCCTTGTCAAATAACAGAACACTAGTAAAAAGAAAAAGCTCCTACGGCCTAATCTTTAAACAGCCCTTACCTGAACCACTACACAATATCAAGCCCACAAGTCAATACTAACTAACAATGTCATACATCAGAACATTGCAGACAACTCATTTGCCAAAAATCTGCCAGGAATAATGAAATAGAGACTGTTGTGACAAACAACTGCCTTAATGACCTTACAGAGTCAACATGTTATTGATTTAACGTTCTTTAAACCGACACAATCAATCTTTGTTTCATATGGGGTGTCATAGTGGACATGGCCAAATGGCAAACCAGCTATTGATAAAACATAAAGTCAATTTGTCTACATTTCACTTTATTCCCTATAAGATTAAGGTAAATAATGTATGAAGAAAAAAACGAATCTCGCACATGTTGTCTTGAAAGTACATGCAGAGTGTGCATATAATAAATGATTAATTTAACAGAACAATCCTTTCATATTAGCTTAATGAAGAATAACCTGTGCATCTGTTTTGTATATTTATTTTTCTGGTGCTGTTTATGTCACCTAAACTAATGAAAAAAAAATTGTTCTGATACTTAGAGATATTCAAAGCTGTCAGTTGTAATGGTGCCTTTACTCTAATTTAAAGAAAAAGTCCTCTAGAAAGTGAACAAATAAGTATCAACATTAGCAGTACTTGGATGGAATTGGCCCAGTCACCTCTATCATTGGCTAATTACTTTAACCAGTGTAGTATTACACTAAAGCACAAGCCTTTTCTCTCTTTCCTTTGAAGTTGGAATTAAAGCAGCAGAACATTACAAAATCTGGAGAATAAAGTGTTAATGAATAATAATAATTGTCTGTGAACAGAAATGTGCTTTCATATAATGTGAACATAATTGATGTGGATATTCTATTTCACTTATTAGGCCGCTGGATAGTTAGCTAACTACTTTGCCACTTCCACCGTGCTTTAATACAGACTATTGTTATAATTTTGTTACGGGATGCATCAATTGCGAAAGTCTGGTATGAAACTGTTGTTTAAAGTAAAAAATGTGCAATAACAGCAAGGGTTAGTTTGTGACGAAAGCTGCCTTCATATAATTCTCCTTTCTCCAAGATTAGCCAATAGCTAAATTCAATTGCAATGGTTTCAGCAGGTAGCAGGCATATTTATAACACACTAAATAAAAATGCATTTACTTTGAACTGAACAGACAAGATTTGGAACTCAATCCATCAACACTACTGAATACCCATTCAAAGGTTAAGTTACTTTTTAGCCTTTGAAATGATATTCTTGCACAATAACAATCAGTCATCATAGTGCCAATATATTATGTTTTAGTAAGGTTGCTCTGATCCAATACCAACTAGGGCTGGGGCAATGTAATAATATTTATGTTTAGTAATTCTATCCAATAACCATGTTTATGAATGTTCCAGAAAATGTATTTTTATGATTATATCAACATGATGTTGAATAAAGTTACTTATACTGGGGCCTGTCATCAAACATGGCCCAAATGCAACAACACTAATGTTGTTTTTGGTATAAAATATAACCAATCCAAAGAAAAGAAAATCTGAAAAACATAATTTATGTGTAAGGATAGATAAAAAGGCTTTTAATGAACTCGGAAAAATAGGTTCTACTTACAAATCCGTAACGTAAAACACAGCAAATCCATTCGTAAACAGTCATGAGCGATCCACAACACAACCTGTTTGGCTGCTGCACATCAGAGAAAGAGAAAGAGCCCCATATCAACTCCTAGCCCTGTGTGAGTTTGACACACCCAGAGTTTAAGCTTGAGAAGTCACTCTTCTAAAGATGATGTTCCGTTTTGGCTTGTTTAACCCAAACAACACGGCCGCCAGATGAGCCACCTTTCTCCCTTGCTCTCTATTCTTAGCCATTTCCGTTAATAATACCCAATGTATTGTCTGTGGGGGCCTTGAGAAGCACCTCCCTCGACCTTCAGGACGAGATCCTGTTTACCTTAGAGAAGCTGCTGTCTCCAACTAGTGTCTCTCTGGAATACTTCACCGTCAACTTTTGCACTCCCACAGCCCCCCAAAACACACACCTACACATACACAACAAGAGTCTGGAGTTGGCATTCATCAGAGCCTGTACTTTGTTAGGGAACTATAAAGGCGAGGGGTCGGGACGCCTTGTCTGATCCTGGGCCAAATAGGCATATTTACCCTGGCCACAGTTCAGAGACACTTAAGCACACATAACTATTACATTGGTGTGTTCTAGAAGTATGGTTAGATGATGAAGCACAACAAGCACACTCACTAAATAAAATACTCACCAGTTTGGAGGTGTTATCTGTGCTCCAGTGCCTGCTGATGATCTTGGTGGACAAGCCACTCTGTGTGTAACCAAAACTCTTCATGGACCATTGCCTCTCCCATAGCCATGGGGGTGAATAGATACCTGAAAAGGACAATGGTAGATGTTAATTTCGTCCTATCTGTGGGAGTCCCTAACTTGGGAGTGACAAGCTAAGGCAAAAGGTGTACAGAAAGTTACCTGCATGCATGCGTACTACTAATCCAAGTTATGTTTAAAAAATACTTTACAGTACATTGCGTGTACTCTTAACTGTGCAATGTATCGTGTCAGTGATATTTGTGTTGTCAGATAGATATACTTATACATTTACATGGATTTATTGAATATCTTCATCGCTCGTAATATTAGCATGGGGCGTCTTTGTCATCTGGCTAGGTAATGTTAGCTGAGCAAGCACTTTTTAACAAAAAGTTAAAACCGGATGATTTGTTTGACCATATACAAATAAATAGCGTGGCCAGCTGTCTTTGGTAGCTTTGAATGGTATGTGACAACAAACTACGTATCATCACGGACGCAAGCAAGAACATTGTTTGATGTAAAAACACGTTAGCAAACTAAGCTAGCCTGCTGTTAGCTAATGAGCTATGTTGAACACCGGCTTTATCTCTGTCTTGGGAAGTTTACATGCCGTCCTACGTTGCAGTTAATATGACAGCGACATGTTGCTAACACGTATTTCAAACTGCTATGATGTTCAACTTACTATGTGGTATGCTGCGGTCAAATCCAACCCTACTTTAATATCAATAGTTGCTAACACATTTCTTAAGCTTTTGCTAACAGCTGCGCTAGCTATGTGTTGTTTTTTCCAGGCAGCACTTCCGCCAAGACGACGGATGGCAGTGTGGTGATTATAACAAACGTAGAAGAAGAACGCCTTTCCGCTCTCTTTCTGGGGGAGATTTGTTATGGTTTTAACTGCAAGGTTAATATCTTGTGTTTTGATAGACTGGAAATCAGCTCCTAATTTTGGAAATGTTGTCATACAACTCTTTACGGATTGTGTGCCCATTCCGGGCTTTACTGCACCCAAACTGGCTGATGACAAACCGACAGACTGTTAATAAAACTGTTACATGTTCAGCACATTGTGTGTCAAACAACTTCCCAAAGAAGGACACATGGCAAAGACAAAATAACCTCAAACCGACGGGAAATGAAAGAAAGCTACAATACTCGACATATGCAGCCAGTTCACCCAGGAATTACTGCACAGGTCAATTCAAACTGAACTGCTGGAATTGCAAACAGCCTCTCGACCAAACACCTGCATTCTTTTGCATGACATGCAAAGCAGTCCAGCCCCCAGAAGAAGACACATCATTATTTAACATCATGGATTGGTGAGTATCTAGTCTCGTATATCATTGCCTGCTAGGCTGCTATCTTACTCATGTCAGCCTGTGAGCAAAACATTTCGTGTCACCATGTGTTGCCTCTTTTCAGTGACTACAAATTCTCACTGGACACACACAAGCTGCAGAAAAGATACTTGCATCTCCAGCGTTCTCTGCATCCAGACAACTTCAGCCAGAAATCTGTGGTAGGCACGTGAATGTGAGGAGTGATTGTGTTCTGTTAGTATGATTCATGATGAGTTGGTCAAGGGAGACATTCTTGAAAAATTAGAAAGATGTTTTTTTTTAGCAATGTGAAAGTCGAACAAACAGCGTTGTAAAGTAACACGTACATTTACTCAAGTAGCCTGTACAAAGTACAATTTTGAGGTACTTTACTTGAGTATTTACATTGCATGCTTCTTTGTACTTCTACTCCTCTACAATCCTTTAGTTACTTTTCAGATTTGGATTAATGATGTGAAATATTATCAAAAACACTTAAATAAGACGTTAGTCACACCTTGAGTAACATTCACAAGCTACCCTGCAGTATGCAAACCAGGTAATCAAAACATAACATATATATTATTCTGAAATGGACCAATCTGCATAATGAGTACTTTTACTTTTGGTACTTTAAGTATATTTTGATGGAATACTTCTGTACTTTTACTTCAGTTACATTTTGAATGCAGGACTTTTACTTGTAAGGGAGTATTCCTTCCTACAAATTCCTATTTTGACTTAAGTACAAGATCTGAGTACTTCTCCCGCCTCTGCGAACAAATGAAAAGAACGAAGGAACACTACAAAACATGATATCGGAAGAAAGGAGGAGAAAGGATTAAATATCTAAAATAAGCTCTGTAGTTGCGGAAAGTAAATAATAAATTAATAATAAATGTAATTTTATATAGCGCTTCTCATCTGCCAAGACAAATCTCGAAGTGCTTGTTGGGGCTGTCATGGCAGCAACTCGATCGAAAGACCTAGGACTGTGAGTAAAATGTCAAGGTGCTTTTTCAAGTCAGAGAAAATAACCACAATTATGTAACCGTGATTTCATCAAGGTTATTTATCCTTTGGTTACAAGACTACACATTTCTTACAGAAAGCCTGTGGAGTGCAGATTAAAGACATGGGAAATGGGCAGGATTTGTTGGTAGCTTGACTTATACTAAGGACAAAAAGTCAGGTTAACTCAGCCGTATATAGAACATCAATAAAAAGAACACAGCAAACTCATGGTGATGCTTTATCATAAGACACTGAAGGAAAAATACAGGAAATAGATCTAATGTTAGTTTGTCCTTTTATCTGGAATGGATGGAGCACTTCCTCTCTGGGAAAAACATCTCCTCGTCTTTTCCCCATCAATTTTGATTTGCCACTTTTGATTTGCAGCTAAGTGTACTTTTCTAACACTAGAATCTTGTGTGGAAATCCCATCCAGCCAAATGCATAGTCGATGAGACAATTAGGCTGGCATTTCACATTAAATCCTCAAGCCTCAAAAAGAAATAAGACTTTTCCAAATAAATCTAAGCAGTTTAAAGTCGAATGTGTTTAAAGGTTATTTTACAAAGTGGTAAATGGTTGACTCGATTTTCACATTATCCACTTTCTCCCTTGTGGATCATTAAAAAAGATGCCTGGCAGTTTAGAAGAATAAGCATTATGAGCAGAAGGAAGACCGAACGTGTTTTGCTTTTCTAATAATTTATTCTGTACACCCAGGTGCGAAAACACAATGCAGAGTGTTGTCATGAATTATATGAAAGCCAAACTCATATTCAGCAGAATGTCAGAGAGAGGAAAGGTAGAGCCTAAATGCTTTATTCACACACAACCTGTCCAATATTGTACTGACTGTGTTTTATTTATTAGCACCTCTGGCCATTTTTTCTTAATTAGACATCTTCTAGCCTTGTGGGTCTTCATCACATATAGAAAACTCATTACTTATACAAGGCCACAAGGCAGCCACCTACTGCACTGGTTGTTATTACAGAAACAGCTCTACACGGTGGGCCCATGGGCCAGTGCTTTAGACTATTGATTTTCACAAGGGCTGACAGCCCTGATAGCTGCAAAATGTACTCAGATCTGACAAACATTTCCAAGATGTTTTCCTCCCTGTCTTGTTTCCACACGTCTGTCGTGTCAAACTTACACCTGCTTCCCTTGAAGGGTCCCAAACTGCCCGACAACAAAGGAGTAGCTGTATGTCATGCACCTAATTGTCAGTATCACCAAGGATTCGGTGTTTAAAAAATTGACAGTGGTATAGATTGTTATGACAAGGTGTAAAACATATCATCTGTTATTCCGTTTAGTGACAGTTTGATATGTAACTCTGGATGACGAAACGGCTTGTTGTTCTGAATGCACAGCAAATGCCAATTACTCATATTTTCTTTCCCCTTTTTTAAAATGAATGAATATTGATTGAACATTCTTAACTAAACAGAACCCTCTTTTGCAGGAAGAACAGGAGTATTCAGAAAGCTACTCCGCTCTTGTGAACAAAGCTTACCACACACTGCTTAAGCCTTTGAGTCGTGGCCTTTATATGGTGAGTTTTAAATCCCTGACTTAACTTCTAATGGATGGTTTATTTTCATAATGGCTCGCTCTGTCTGTCTGGACGCCTTTTCTTGAGAAACACCGTTCCATGCGAAGGAGCTGTTGAGGTTGATGATCTCCCTTTGTGGTTTATAGCTGGAGCTGAAGGGAATGGTTATCGAAGAGGGCACAGACTCCGGGGCTGATCCAGAGTTTCTAATGGAGCTGATGGAGATAAATGAAGCGCTTGATGAAGTTAAGACTCCAGAGGAAGCCAATAAGATCGGCCAACACACAAAAGGTAAATAAATATGCCTGTTCGATTTAATGAGTTAGTGCTCATGATTCACAAATTAGCGCAGGTGGACGACTTCCAGGCTAATTGGTGCTGAAATATCACATATATATATTTATTTCAGATGCCTCTCTCGAGGCACGTAAAAGTTAATAAAATCCCCCTTTGGCTGAACTGCTCCCTGCTTGAGACTTTCTTAGTATTTTCTTTGTTTCCTTGTTATGATTCATATTTCAGTTGTGAAGGATTTGGTGTGATCTGGTCACAATATGTTTGGTTTCATACAACAGCTAGCACACCTGAAGAAACTGGTGAATCTCTTTCCAGTGCAACCTAACAAACTCACGTTGTTGGTTTTCAAACTCAGGACATTTGAATCCAGGGATGGAATGGTTGGTTCCACCATTAATGATAAAAACTACCATACAAAAGAGCAACAGATTCACTTAATGGCTGACCAAAAAGGGCATATAGCATTAATAAATACATTTTGAAACTAGCTGTGAAATTTTAAAAAACAGTCGGTATTGGGCTTCGTAAATTACAAAACATGAAATTCAACAAGCCATTAAGGTTTGGCCCCTCTTTAAATGAGACATGCAGGTTAGTTAGAATAACTCCACCAATGGCTTCATAATTACCTTTGAAAAGGTGCACCATATTTTTCTCTCAAGTCAATCAGAGAAGACTCCTCACATTGGTGGAATCTAACAGAAACTATGAAACAATACATAGTTTCTTTTGAGATTAAAGCATATTCTAGTAGAAACAGATACAAAACATGCCCCCTTTAAAAAGTAGTACTATATTCCTGAATGTATGTACAATGCAAAACAAGGGTGAAAACATCAGACAAGCGAACAAAATATACTTGACAGATTAATTTCTGTCTACATGGTTGTGCTTAATTTGTCACTTTTTTCAAACACAATTGTCCTCATATCCATGTGCTACATTGTGGGCACATCCAACTGTGTTAACACAATATGACTCTTTGATTTTTCCAATATGGTTTGAATAACTTCAAATGAAGCAGGTGCTCACAAAGTGCTTTTTAGCTTGTACAAATAAAAAGCACCATATGTGTCTTGTCTTGTCAACACATGCAGAACTGGCACTTGTCTCCTCCTCACTTTCAGGGAAACAGGCAGTCTTGACAGAAGAAATAGACGCTGCCCTCCTTAAAGGTATTATATTATTTTTCTCTTCCTCCCACTCATTCCTTAGTTTGTTTTGTAGTCTATGCCAAAGCTTTTTTAAAGTAATTAAGTGAGTCAGTTATTGAACTTCCTTTTTCACTCTCTTTTTTCCTTATCAGGAGAACTTCAATCTGCCAAAGCCCTGCTTGCCCAAATGAAATACTTTGCAAACATTGAAGAGAAAGTAAAGGAAAAACTTTCTGAATTCATGTAATTGTACCCCCTATTTAATCGCTATTACTTTCTTCCTTATTTTAAACTAGTTCACAAAGTTTTGTAA